TTTTTTTTTTTTTAAAGAGATTTATTCATTACTTATCAAGAGAATGCTGTTTTTATTCTATTTTTAAAGTGTTGTTTTTGCGAAAATTTTTGCTTATATTTTTTTATAAAATATTTTTGCTGCATATTTATTCCTAAGATTTGTAGGGGTACGTTTGCAGTTGGAAAAGACTTTTGTGTAGAGGAAATAATTTTGCACTTCCTAGTACACGAAAATGAATGCATCAAAACTGATGCTGACGTTTTGGTGCTATTTAATGATAAAAAATTGCCTGTTTAACTGATCAGCTGCTTAGTTAGCAGATTTTAATATTCATACAGTCGTAAAACTGTGCTGAATGTATTTAACGCTTAAATTAATGCATAGCTTTGCTTTTGTGACTGATGTTACTTTTGCCGTTGTAACTTGTAGCTTTTTTTTACACTTCTACTTGAAACGCTTGTCATTAATGGCACCAAAAAATATATAGATTGATGCTAATGCTTAAACATATGAAGAGCCAGTATCAAGTTTCTTCTGGTATCTCAGAGGTTAAACTTTATCGTTGACATTGCTTAGTCAACTGCCACCGCGTTAGTTTTTTCGATAGATCATAGTTGTTGAAACTTTGGTTTTCACGTACAGTTATCTCTGGGTGACGGATAAGTGATGTATCACATCCTGCTATTTAAGAGATTTTCAGTCTATGCTGTTTAGTTTCATCTTAAAAATTTCATAGTTAGAGTAGAAGAAGAACAACGCTTTAGAGTAAAAAAAGACTTGCTTTACTGCATCGTCTTCAGGCTTGTAAGGGACAATTTATGCATTATGCTGAGATATATAGAGGGAAACTGCCCACATTTTTGTGCTTTTTAATTGCATTCTGCTTTATCGTGGCGTATAAAAGGAGAAAAAAAGCTAAAAAAAATTCTTTGACGACATCAGTGGCTAAAAGCGAATACGAGTACACTAATCGCTTGTCGTTCTTAGAAAGTTGCAACTTTCAATCTCCCACCTAATCATTGAAGACAGCATTTGGTCAGCTGCTGTATCACATCTTTTTTGACAGTTTAAAAGATCTTTTTTTATCATCAGAAGAAATGACAACGATTCTGATGCATTTTTTTTCCTCAGCAATAAAATTACTGTTTGATAAAAGAAAAAGTAAAACAGCGGTTTACTGGTTGATATTGGTTACGGTCATCCAATGGATATTTAAGTTCATTGTTATCAACTGACAATAACTTTAACAAAATGCAATGTCGTTTTTCTCTTTTTTGTCGGCATTTTTTTTTTCAATCTGAACTTCGTTTTTTTCCATTCTTCATATAATATGGTAGGATGGGAGAAGAAGAACAAAAGTTTTGAAGCTCTAGTTAACTGTACTCTGGACAAACAAACCTATCAAATCTTTGCAATTCCGTGTGAAGAATCATTTGCCGTAAACTTATGCGTTGTATTGGTTATAAAGTTCTTCATTTGCACATATGTTGACAGATCGAAAAAAGTCAGACTATTATTTGTTGCTTATTTGCAGATCGTTTGGTAGTGTTCGCCCAAAATGAGATGAATCATCCGCCACCGGCGTACACATTGACGAGTCCATGCTTACCACCGGCTGATACCAAGCATCAGCCTTGGCCACCGGAACCTCCTCCTGCCTTTGACAGACTACCTCCTTATCCGGCAGGTGGCGACACAGTTATTCGTGTTTTGTTATAACAGACTTCTGTTCTGTAATTGAATGAATGGAAAATATGTTTAAAAAGATGGATGAAAACAGTAAAGATTTAAGTCATAGAAGTTTGTCAAGCTTTTAATGTAAAATAATAGTGCAAAGTTGTTCCTTTTTTGGCTTTCTGCAGTGACACCGGATGTTTCAGGCCCCAAATTGATAAAAACAGAGTACCCAAAGAATACACCAGGGCCTACATATGCTTGCCCTTACTGTGAAGGCAGATTTTTGGTATGTAGTGTCTTTTTCTGGAGTACAAATAAGTTTTTAGTACCTACCGTATATTTGGTTTCAATCTTTAAAATAACATTACTTGTGAAATGCTGTTCATTAAATTTTCTTCTATCTCCCTCCTCCAAAAATTGAAATTAAGAACTTGTTGGGTAGGACTCGTTTCAAAGGTCTAACTTGCTCGTGACGTTTTTTTATTTCAGTACCACAGACCGTTTGGATTGGTAGAATGCCCCTTCTGTCATAAGCCAATATCGATCGGCCATTATGTAAGTTTTGGTTTCTAAAATCTCTTCTTAACTGTATACGTATACCAATCTGTAAAATTTTATTCAGCGACAAAAGTAACAGAAAATAACCACTAAACCATATAAAACTGAGAACTGCTTCGTCCGCAGTCGTTAAAAGAACTAACAGTTTACAGATCTCAAATGAACAAAAATTTAGATTAGAATTCGGGCGCTTTCTCAAATGTTCATCGGACTATTTGCAGTTTTGACTAGCATAAGTTTAGCTACAGTGATCATGACAGTTTTCAACGAATCGTCTCACGTCTATCTTTTTGCTGGTATGTTTACCCTCCTTTCAATACAAGAAATTTAATATGAAGATTTCTGTTTTTTTAATATTATTCAATTCGCTGTTAGACCGAATATTTTAAACTGTTTTAAAAAACTATTCTTTTTATATTGAGCAACCGACAACGTTTGTTAAATGAACATTTTATCTTACAGTTGGAGGGTTTGCACTGCTCGGCTTGTTTCTGATGCTTCGCGGTGTCTACTTACAGTCGAAGTATCGTGAAACGGAAAGAATCGAATTTTAGACGCTTTTAGATTCTATGACAAGCCAAAACCAAAATGTGATTTTTTTCGCATTGTTCCTGTACTTGTGTATATTTCTTGGTAGTTCTCTTACGTGACCTTTCATTACGGGCAAAATTTTGTTTGTAGAGTATTGTTGCAACTATTGTTGTTAAATTCACGGTTAAAGCTGAAATTTCCGATACAGTGCAAGACATTTTGACGGACAAGAATTTCGTTTTACTATACTTTTTTTATACTTTTTTTTTTTTTGGAATTTCACCCGACTCGTGTTTTATTTTTTCGTTTCTTCCCATTTCGAGATCTGTGTCTCTAGTTCGCTTTTTGAGGTTGTTATTCATCTCTGACCTCACATCCCTTGCTGGTTGTTGTTCTACGCTTTCTGATTGATTGTTAGAGAATTAACTTATCAAGATGTAAAAGAAACCTCATTGTCAGGAAGCGAAGTGAACTTCCAGCTAATGGAATGATTATATACTGTATGACGATACTGAAATGTGAGCGAATCGTACTGTACATAAAGAGATTTGGTTTTACTGTTGCTACCGAAAGCATACCCACAACCGCACTCAGCACAGTGTAGAAATTGATTAAAAACTATCTCACGCTACCTACTTGTCAATCAAAGTTTCAAACAAACAAGCCTCACCAAGCTTCCCCAACACACCGGCCCTGCGTCAGGCTCAGAGGACGCAGACAAGCATGGAACTTGGACTCTTCAAATGTTTCAACCAAATCGTGAAACTTCAGACGACTTCAACAAGCACACCGTCACCGAGGAAATCGGAACCCAATTAAAGGATGGGCATTTCGCTCCTCCACTGCGCTACAGCTAACAGCCATCGGGAGTGCCTAATATAACTGCGGAAGTAATGATCGAACCACTGCTCGTGAATGTTGCAGGATGCAAAAACTCCATCCGAGTACAGGCGAAAAACTTCGGAAGCGTCTGTAAAGCACCCTGCCTCAGTATACCAAAAGATTATGCCAAAAATATAGGTCTCTTTCATCTAAGACTTTCAGAAGGAATGCAAAAGAAAAATCAACCGTAAAATGGCAATTGTCAGCTGATAAAACTTAGGGACTCCTAATGTCTGATATAAATGAAAACTGAAAAACCGTGAAATTAAAAAGCCTTGTTCCATAAAAGAACAATTTCCAATTAAATTTAACACGGACATCATTAAAGTTAAAAGCACCAAACAGTCGTTGCATCAGCATTTTTTGACAAACAAAAATGATTCAGAGATTAATAAACAAGAAAAACATTTTAAAACCTCTACAGTAAGCCGATAAAAAGAAAAAGACTAGAGCTTTTTCAAGAAACAAAACAAGTTAAATTCTCAAAATTGATACATTGTCAAGAAAGACATATACAGATATTAGTATGCCATATTTCCCTCATCTTATCCCTCTGAAATACCTTCCAAAGAAGAACTGACATAAACCGCAATAGTAGACTAAACGAACGAATCACTACCAATACTATGTCCAAAAAAAAGAAAGAGCTGAATCTGACAGGTCATTCGACCTCCTCGTCAATCATACCACTCGGTGCTGCACTCAGACCACCCTCTTCTGCTGATCCACGTGGCGCTTCTTCGGCAGCTTTTGTAAGAAGCATTTTTTCGAGACGCTGGAAGTATTGATTTAATAGAAAGGTGAAAAAACAGCACGGATGCCACTATTAAATTATCTATTAAATAACAGACTACAAAACATCGGCGCTTACTTTTCTGGCCTCCGGAAGCTTTTGAGTAATCAGAGCATAATGTTCGGGTGGGAATGTCTGCTGGAAAATTAGAAGAAGCTGCTGTGGTTCACCACAGATTGTTATGGCATTACAGATGTGATCTGTCCCTTCCTCAATATTACCTACAATACTGCATCATAAAAAAACAAATTAACCTTTTCCTGACATAAAGAAAATGAATGATAGATTTCTGTGCAGCAAAAAACAAATAAGCATGCAAAAAATCACAAAAGTCTGTTTAAAAACTTAGAACACAAATTGTATAAAAAATTGCGCTAAAATAATTATAGCCTAATAGGTCAAAAAAATAAAATGTCATAAAATTGCTAAACTACCTGTGATTCTTTACCTCAAAAAAATAAATAATTAAATAAAAAATACGAAATGAGAAAAAAGTAAAAAAATACATAAACAGATAAATAAATAAAATATGTCATTTGGAAATCGGTAAGAATGTGTTTCTTCGACCAGAACTAATTTTATCTCATTCCGTTGTTTCGAAATAAATAACAAAATGGAGTGAAGATTTTAGTTGGAACGGTAAACCACCTAGAAGTTTGTTCAGTTACTTTAACTAAACTCCAAAAAACTCACTCACCTGACGACATCAGTTCTTCTCCCAACTGGACTTCTTGCAAGAAAAACGCTTGCATTTCAGTTTGGTTCCGGAGATTCGGAAGGGAACGAGTTCCTCCATAATTATTAGAAGTTTTAGCTTTTGAAGCAGCACGGCGATCTAAAAGAAAGGCATGAAGAACTGGAAAGACCAAGTATAAAACTCTATGCAATCATAACTGCTCATTTTATTATGCCTTTCGCTTCGAATTAATCTAGCTTCGCTCAAGAAGTAATCAGAAATGACTTAAACGCTTTTGTGGCACTCAGTTCTCAAAGTTAACAAATGTGCAAAGTGAAGTCCAATTTTGAGCAACTTCGAGAAGTTAGCGTTGTTATCTCAAGAGCACTAAACTGCACTAGAAACTTCCAAGCAGAACAACGATTTAAAGCTAACCATATTAGAGCGAAAAGTTAACTGCTCATAAAATCTAAAATTTATGAAGCTTCTGACACCAATGGTCACTTTTCCTCCAAAAAAAAAAAACTATTGGTACCCTACCAAAACTATCAAATTTGTACAAAAAGTCCTCAATACAAACAAAGCCACACTGAAAAAATAGACGAGTTCATGACCGGAATTAGAGCAAGGCTTAAAATACGTAAAACTTTTGACGTTTTGTTAACCGCAGCTCTCGCGCTTAAACACTGAAGCTAGTCAATTCTTTTTTTATTTTTTTTTCCCAAAGAAGCACAACCTTAAAGGTACTGCATACCCCTTAGGTAACATCTCTACAGGCAGCTCAACTCATACGAATTCCTTAAGCAACTTTCTTTGATTAAAAATCCCGATTTTTCGTCTGTAATAATCACTGTAACTGGAAAATCTAACAGTATTAGAAGAGCAGATGACTATTCCCCAACATAGGAAACATCCAAAGAGCGTTATAGTTTCAAAATTCTACAGGCAACCACATCACAGTATTAGTTGTAACTTCAAGTCTAGAAATTGTTGAGGTTTCATTTACTCTCCTTTGCAAAAAGTTCTACACACAGCCTACAAGAGCACATTGTTACTTTTAGAAATCCTAAGATACTCAGTAAACACTTTACGTAGTAAAATAAGTAAAGACAAAAAAAATCATACTTTCTCTGATTTTCTGTTTATAATCTGGAGCACTTCTACGTTTATGATCAAAATATATACAGTAGCCAACAAAAGCTGCTGCTCCTGCAATTGCAGCCGCAGTGATAATGTGCTGTCGGAAAAACGATGTCACAGATGACGATGGCTGAACTGTTGACATCTCGGTATCTCACCCAGGTAAGATGGTGACTGCTTAAAACAATGTTGCTAGAAATAAAGTAAAGTTCTGACATACAAACCTGGTGACCGACGAAAAAAACTAAAGTAACAGTACAGAGAACGTTACAACACCTTAACGAGAAAGATTCTTGATGGAAAGAGGCAAAAAAAAGAAAAAGGAAGAAAAAAAGGAAACAAGCGTAGAGCACCCATCAGGTGCATTATCTCCACAAATAGCGTCACTATGACTAAAAAAAATTCCTTAGCAGAAACAAAAAAAACTTCAGCAATCGCAGAACAACAACTGCAGCATAAATTTTTCTAATTATGCTGTAAAAACAGTATTGTCTGATATCAGCATACCGCAAAGCAACATGCAGTTGAATTCTGCATTTTCGCTCAACTCCAAATTGTCGCGCCTAAAAAATCGGGTATGGCCGTCAACAGTCCGAAAAAAAAAATAATGCACAATTTTCGCTTTAAGATTATTGTTTGAATTATAACAGCCAAAAATTTAATGTTTAATTTTTTTTTTTTTGAGCATTTTTTATTCAAGCGTTGGTGCTTTACAATTTTACAAACACAATAAAACATTACATTTTTTAATATCGTCACTTTTTTTTATTATGAAAACTAGTTGGTAGTTATTTATAAATATATATATATATATTTTTTATATATATATAAATCTTTGATTAAAAAAATATATATATATTTTTCTTTATACTGTATATAGTGTATAAATATTGTTGCAGCTAAAAATCACTAAAACAATTCCAGTCCATAAAATTGTTCATTAAATTACTGATATGGTAACATCGTTAGTCGCTTAAGTAAAAAAAAGTACATATATATCTGATTAGAATTTAGCGTTAGATGTTTGTTTAGTTGAGGAAAGAAACCTTGTTTTCTGAACCGTTATTAAAACTTTGATCAGTGCGTTAGTGGGGTCTGCTATGGGTTGATGTCAAAGTTTGAACATTTTTATTGTATAGAATAACAGTGTATATAGATGCACAATTTTGACTAAGAACTCATTTAAAAGATGGTAGGAGAAATTGAAATTACGGTCGAAATTTTTTGTTACAATCTTTCCCTTACATTTAATATATCTCTTATTACTTTTTTGCTACCATTATTTTTTGGTTTGTAAGTTTTTTTTAGACTATAGAAAACAGCAAGAAACAAGTTAGCAAACAACAACAAAAAAAAATTTAGTACATAAATGGAACTGTATTTTTTGTTTCTATTCTTTTTTGGACAATAACGGATATAAATCTTTATTTTTAATTTTTTTTGTTAAACTAAGTATACTGGCAGGGGTTTTTTGACGTTACTAAGGTGGAATATGCAAAAATCTTTCATGTCATATTATTGATATTATTAATTGAGCAAAAAAAAGTTATTTAAGTAGAAAATATTTTCAAACAGATTTTTTGTAAATGAAGAAAAAAAAAGATGATTAGTGGCAAATTTTTACGGACTAAATTCTGTCTATTACTGAAGTGGACAAGGAAATTAAAAGTATTTTTTAAAAAATTATTTCGCAAACAATTATTGCATAAAAAACAGCAGATAAAAGAGTGGTTTTTTTTTGACTTATAAATATTGTCAGAATTATTAAAATTTTTGTAAAATTGCTATTTGAATTGTCAAATAATGCATCTACGTAGTAGAGCAGCTATAATATTAAACAGGCGAAATTTTACATCAGTTCTTTTATTTTTTTGCAAACATTAGCTATAGAAAAACCAGCAACCAAATAAAGAGTAGGGAATTTTTTTTGAATTTTCAACTTTATCGTATAATTTGAATGGGAAAATAGAATTGAGCGAGGTACATTGAAGGAAGGAGTTTGGGAAGGAGGGGGGTAAATGAGTGCAAAAATAGATCTGTAAAATAATGTCATATTTGACTGCTGCTGATATAATTAAAAATCTCAAAAAATAGAGAGCAAAAAAAATATATTATTTCAAATTAAAATCTTTCTCATCCTTTTTTTTTTCTGTCTGAAACTACAGTATAAATGATTATGACAAGATGAATTCTAGTGACGGCTCTTAAAACTGAACAGAACTGATACGGATATTGCTGGGTATACATTAAGGGTTTTTAAAGTAATATTTCGGTCGAAAAAAAAATAGAAGAAAAACCAGATAATTTTAAAGGAACATATAATTAAGGAAAAGATATTTTTGAGCCTCATCTCGTCTTCCATTTCTGTTTTTCTTCTTTTTAACTTTTTCAAAATACATTTTTTGTTGCTTTTTTTTTTTCGCTGTTGTGGTCAAGTGGTTTTTTGCCAAAGTAATGCAACTTTACCACAAAAACATATTTTAGAGATCAAATTGATGATTATAATAAACTATAGAAAATATGAGCAACTGTAAAACCAGTTATATTTTGCTTGCGGTTACAGCGGAAAGCTATTTGTTGGGTTGTTGGAAGAAACAGATTTGATGTATTCAGACTTTATCGTACCAGTTTATCCGGTAATCATTTATCAACTACAGCACAATTAAACTCTCAAGTCTTTAGATTAGAGTTTCTTAGAAATTACAGGAAGTACAATTAAGTTGCTTGTATATTTTTACTTAGTTTTTTTTTCTTTTCATATTTTTGCACCTCTTTCAATCATTTCTTTGAAACTTCTTTTACAACTTTTTTAATCCTTATTATTACTGTTTGAATATTCATTATTGATGTTGGATATTGGCATTGAGTGCAATGTTTATAAGAGGAGCAAAAATTATTCTAAAACTTAATGACAGTACCTTTTTTTTCTGTTTTGAATTATTTTATCATTAATTATAGAAGACTGATTATATGTTACTGCAAAAAACTGCGATAACCTTGGATAGTTTCATAAGGTTTATAGCTAAAAAAACTTGCAGAGTAGTGTATAGTTAGGGGAGGACAGAATGCATAATGTATGTTTGGTATTTGTTCAATGAGTTTTTAGCGAAGTATATAGCCTAAATAAAACCTTTTCTCTACTTTTTTTTCTAGCTTTTTTCTTTTCAAACAGTTTTTGCATGGAAAATTTGGCAACCAAAAAAAAAAAAAGGGTTTTACGCCTTAACTGATTTCTATAGATCATTGGAAAAAATGGTTGTGATAACAGCTATAAAAATAAACGTTGGCAACACAAAGTATTCAATTTAGCTGTTGTCTAAAAATAAAAAAATAAAAATAGGAAAAAAAAATGTGAAGACAAAATGTTCAAGGTTATCTGTTTTTGTTTTCAGCTCCCTTACTTTCTTTATTATTACCAACAGCAACAGCAAAATAATCTTTTAGCGATCAAAAGGAGAAGAAAAGAAAAAAAAAATTTCTTTTTTTTTTTACTAACTGATAAATGCGTAATTTGTTACGCTCACCAAAAAATAAAAAAAATAAATAAATAAATAAAAGTGAAACGAAAAGAAAAAAGAAAAAAAAAATCATCAGAAAAAAAGTGGTAAAGAATTTTTTTCAGTAGCATTCATCTCTTTTTTTTATCTATCATTTTTTTTTTTTCAATACTTTCGGTAGATTAATTTTGTCACATACAGAAGAAAAGAAGAAAAAAAATGAACAGTATATAAGTATAAATAAAAAAAAAGAAATTTTTTTTATTTGTTTGATGTCAAACAGTGTCGTTACATTTGAAAGCCTTAAAATTGATTGGTGTTTGACCCGTCAATAATAAATAGTAAACCTGAAGAAGAAGAAAAAAACCGGAACTTTCTTCTTGTTTCTATCACCGTCGTTACCCATCATTAAAAGTGTGGTGCAGCATCAAACAGTTTTCCGCTGAATGCTAAGTGCTATTCGGTAGCAATTTACTGTAATGTTTCATGAAGTTTTCAAGAGTGCTTTTTTTTTTTCTTTTTTGTCCTTCTTTATTTTTTCTTTTAATTCTTCTATTAAGTAATGTGTTCTGCTGAATTGACTGACCAACAAAATAATATTGGCTGGAAAGAATAGCATTTCTTCAGCTATCGTTCTTTGATTTTAATTGTTCAGAATGTTACATTATTGAGAAAAAATAAATTGGTATTTTGAGCTAATTAGTTTTAACGTTGTATTCATCATTCAACTGAACAGATCTGATAAACTTTTTAAGTTTTTTTGTTATAAACCTTTAAATTGTTTATTTTATTCATCATCATCATCATCATCATCGTCAATATCATTTTCATCATCATTATCATAATTAATTTTAATATTATAATATTACATCCATTGACAATCAATTGATCAGCCAAAATTTTACTGAACAAAATTTTGCTTATATACAGCAGATTTGATGTTATCAGGTTGACATATCATCAAGAGCAGCAACTAATACGCCACTATTACAGTGATCTATTGCTGGCAATAAAAAACAAAAAAATGTCATTCATTCTTTACATTTCTCGCATTAAACTCAATAAATTTTTGTAACCACTAA